GCAAGCGCGCACTCCGCACTCTCAATACAAAACATGGTTCGTCGTGTGTAATTCACATCCTGTACATTTCACACTCAGATTTGCGCGCACACGAATCCCCGTGCGCACGCGCTGCCACGTGACGCAGCCAGCGTCTTCGTTGCTACGGCGTTGCGATGGCAACGCGTCTCCACTGGCGAATAGCGGGAGTGGGGGAAGTTTGTAGGTAGGGTGTGACGAGCTTGGATGTGGCTTGGTGTGAGGGTGGGGGTCATGCGTGGGTCAGTAGTACCACGCGATATAATACACTAAACTGCAGTGCAGCTTAGTGGACGTGCGTGTGTATGCGCGCGCGTGTATGTGCGCGCGTGTGTATATGTGCGCACGCGTGTACGCACCCCCGCGCGTGTGTGTGTATGTGATGAGTGGGTGAACGAGGGTGTGTCAGTGTGTGTCTAACAAAAACTCGACGCTGCTGCTGCTGCTACACTAAGCTGGGTAGCGGCGGACGTAGCGACGACGACGACAGCTGTGAATACGACGTCGGATAGAAGACGCTCGGATAGGACGACGCCAATGACGTTACGGGATGCGTCGTCGACCCGGGCATACTGCGCGACTCGGGATGCGCTCCGCTCTCATGATACAGAATCGGCACACGCACCATCCTCTGGGCGGCGTGCGCCATGTTGGCTGCTTCCAGCTCGGCCGCCAGTTGGCGCTTCCACTTGTTGCGTCGATTCTGGAACCAGATTTTCACTTGCGTCTCGGTGAGGTTGAGCGAGGCGGCGAGGCCCGCGCGCTCCGAGCTGGACAGGTAGCGTTTCATGTCGAACGTCGACTCGAGTTGGAACACCTGGCTGCGAGAGAACACCGTTCGCGTCTTCTTCTTGCGTCGGTTCTTGTTCTTCTTGTCGAGGTCGTTGCTGTCGGCTGGGTCGCCGATATCGTCGTCCATGCAGCTGCTGCGCGGCGTCGGCGACTGCGACGGCGACGACGACCGACTGCGGGGCGACGGCGACGAGCTGACACGAGGACTAGATACACCTGCAGCAAAAACAGACAAGATGGCGGCGGTTAGGGCGTGTGCGGGTATAAGATATATTATATAGATTAGAGAGAGATAGATAGATTAGATATTTATATTATTTAGATGTATATATTAGATTTGGTATAAGGCATATTATTTATTTTTATATTATCTCTATTATCTTTATATTATATTTATATTGCAGTTTTATATGCGAAGGTTCTCAATTTCTTTTATGTGATTATCATTGTGCGATATTATCATATGTGCTGTTTTACAAAGTTGTTATGTAATAAACCTATTTTCTATCTATCTATCCATCTCCTCTCTCCTCTCTCTCTCTCTCTCTCTCTCTCTCTCTCTCTCTCTCTCTCTCTCTCTCTTCTCTATCTCTCTCTGTCTTCTCTCTCTCTCTATCATATATATATATGTGTGTTGTGTCATATATATAAGTATAATATATATATATATATTATATATATATATATATAAATCTATATAATTATATATATAACTTATAACGATGTCAGTCAAGGCGATCGCTGTGCGATCCAAGGTCGCGGTGCACCGAGAATAAGCAATCTCATCACGACGCTGTAAAATCTACGACTAAACCCCTAATAATTAAACAGCATTAGGATTATATCCCCCCCACCCCTCCCCCTCATTATGATCACATCCCCACCCTCCCCTCCCCCTCCACTCCTCCACTCATTATGGTATAAGGGACTATATCATCAACTTCTTATAGTCACGTGATCTCGAGGGGGGGGAGATCGGGGTGAACGAGCGACACGTGATCTATGTTGAATAGACATACTGTTCTCTTGTATTCTCTCTGCCCTTATTCACCCGCCGTGCATCTTTCGCTCGTAGAAACGTCACGTGACATTTACAGAGCGCACCTGTACTAGTTCGTCTGCATAATTTACATGCTCGTGATAAATCCAATTGGTCCGACATGATCACGTGATCGCCGTGGTTTTGTTTAAATTCAGAGGTGATGTGATTATCTATTTTTAGGTTAGCCGTGCCGCTACCATAAAAATAAAGGATACGCCCTTAATGAAGCATTTTATTCGCTCATTTTTAATGCACTCTGAAGGTTAATAATATTAATGCCAGGATGTAAGTCAAGAATGTCAAATTTCTCACGTACATTAGCGTGAATTTCTCACGTTGATCTATTTCGAATTCCGTCGTACAAATTTGCAGAAAAGGGGAAAACATGCAGCGAGAAAAATATACGGCCAGAATGACGTATATGATATTGAAAATGTCGCGAAATCTTACAGCTTCATGACAACGCATCTGTGGTAAGCTTATGTTTAACGAAATCTTAAATATCTCTTAATTGACCTCCACCCCTTGACCACGCGATGTGTGGCTGTGTACGTCTGATATAGATATTAATGCAGGAGCCTCGCGCGCCAAATGCGTACATTACCAACGGAGTTACACCAGCAGTCATTGTAACACGGTCACTTAACATCATGGATAGTTACAAAGCGCTTGTGACGGATTCGGTTGTAAGGGATTCGGTTACTATGTGTACGACGTATTACTACGTACGTATGTTTGTGGCCACGGTTGCGATGCCTGAAGAAACGTGTAACTGATCTATGTAACAACCGATTCGTTTAAATGTTCAATCCAATTGTTTTCTAAGTCGTATTTTTTCTCCGTTACATTGATAGATGCTCGAGAAATGCCAATCACCACATCTTGCTAATCGTTGCCAACACACACTTGTAAATAAACGTAAATAAACAAACGAGTCCTTGCTGTCTCTCTCATTCGCTCAACCAGCCGCGCCCCTCCAACTCCCTTTCATTGTTTTTGTTCTCTCTCCCTCTCTCTCTCTCTCTCTCTCTCTCTCTCTCTCTCTCTCTGTGACTCAGACGTGTGTGTGTGTGTGTGTAGTGTGTGTGTGTGGTGCTGTGTGGTGTGTGGGTGTGTGTGTGTGTGTTGTGTGTGTGTGTGTGTGTGTGTGTTGTGTGCGTGTCTCTGTATCTCTTACGCATATGCGGCTCATCCACACCTTCTCATTGCCAGTCCTCTGTCGCCTGCTTTCGCTCATCCGTCAACCTCCCTTCTCTGTCGCTCCTTCCTCTGAATCGCCCATTCTCTCTCCTCTCTCGACTCCCTCATTCCCGACTCACTTTCTTGCTTCTTTCACTCTCTCTGCGTTCAGTAGTGGTCTCATGTTACATGACTGCGCTCACAGCAACAGCGGATGGGATACTGAGTAATTTTATCCGTTCGTAGTGTTTTTGTCGGTGTATTTGTGCAACGCTGGCTGATGCAGCAAGGCGCTGTCAACGAACGCGGCTGGTACATAGAACGTGATTCGTGGCAGACAAACTAAGTGAGCGAGACGAGCGAGAGAGAGAGAGAGAGAGAGAGATAGAGAGAGTAAAGAGAGAGAGAAAGAGAGAGAGAGCAGAGAGAGAGAGAGAGAAGAGAGTGAGAGAGAGAAAGAGAGGAGAGAAAGAGAGAGGAGAGCAGAGAGAGAGAGAGAGAGAGAGAGTGAGAGAGAGAAAGGAGCAGAGAAGAAGAGAGAGAGTAGAGAGAGAGAGAGAAGGAGTAAGGGAGAGAGGAGGGAGGCCGAGTTTCCGCTAAGGCGCGTCTCGCTTCTCTTCAGCTTTCCCATCTCACTCCCGCTCGCTGCGCTTATACGCCTATCTCTGAAATCTCCACCCGCCGCTTCCTCTCACCATGATTAGAGCATAATTGCGTATACTCGCTCGTGCTGTAGTATCGTGTTGTGGTCACGAAGCTTATACGTAGGGAACTGCAGCATGCAGACGTTCTATCTTAACTGTAGGCTGTCGTGAGACCGTCGCGACGGGAGTGCCGCTAAGGGAATGCGTCTTACCTACGCGGCGCGTGTTCACGGGGTGAGCGGGGGAATTTTAAAACGGCGTCGCGAGTAAAATAGTACGTCGCAGAGGCAAATGAGTCCCTTTTTCTTCAAAATTGCGTAATATTGATCAAAAATACGTCAGACGGATCTTAATAATAGCAATAATGGAATATGTGAATTGTCGATAGATGAACATAATACCGGGCGTGCATTTCATTAAAAAGATTAATGCCCATCTTATAATTTGATGGATGGTTTTAAATATTTCATCAAATGTAATCCGTTTCATGAAAAGAATACATTATATTTGCTCAAATTTAGCGAAAAATTATGGCTTAAGACTTTAGTATGCAATATATATTATTAATTGCTAATGTAACATGTACTACACAATGACATATTTCAAGCATCATTGTTTGTATGACATGTTAATGTTATGATTTTATATTTTACTTAATATTAACACACACGCCACCGCACGACCATGCACCCCCCCCCCCACACGCACACACACACGCAGCGCTGCGCGCACACACACATTGCATACAGCGTGGTATTATATTAATATTATTATTATTAAAATCATTATTATTAAACAGTATGTTTCCATGTGCGTCAATTTTGTGTGCGTATACTAACGATCATCTGGCAAGCGCGAGACATACCTAATTAAAATTTATTTTTATAGATGTTTATAATAATATAATTACACTAACTCTGGCAGTGGGGAATATTATATAATAGTATTGTTATATATAAATTCATTAATTATGTGTTCGCGTGGCCGTGTGTGTGCGTATCGTCTCATGTCGTGTGCATGCCGCGTGTGCATTCGTTCGTTTGTTTAGTCGTGGTCGTCGTGTGTGCGTGCGTGCGTGGCTGCGTGTCGTGTGTCGTGCCGCGTACGCGTAGCGTGTTGTGCGTGCTGCGTGTGGCGTGGCCGTGGTGCGTGCGCAGCGTGTGTGCGTTTTCGCGTGTGCTGCGCGCTAGTGCGTAACGAAGTAGCGAGCCGGAAACGGTTTCTAGCGGCAATATAATAATTCCGACAAACGTCTACCGTTAAATTTCCCCGCAGCACTTATTTGCTACACGACGCCGCAGCACGTTCGCCGATGATTTCCTACCCCACGAAAGAAAATAAATCGCACTATCGATACACTCAAGAGGCATAAATCCCTAAACTATGACACACACACTGCCGGGCGGGGGCCGGCGCGGAATAACGGGTGACTAGGGTGTGGCGTACACGCACAAGCTGTGTGTCTCACTCAGCCTCGTCCACAGTTACCTGAGACGCTAATAAAATCGACGCTTTATAAATTAGCTATTCAAGACTCTCCCGCACGATCATCAGACGCGCGCCGGCACCCCGCGCTCTCCCGCATCGTTCCTCGTCACGTAAGATCAGCCTAATTATCGCTATATTCATCTAATATATATATATGATATATATATATATATATATATTATAATGTAATGTGTGTGTGTGTGTGTGTGTGTGTGTAATGTGTGTGTATGTTTTATGTGTGGGTGTTTGTTGTGTGTGTGTAGTGCGTGTGTGTGTGTGTGTGTGTTGTACGTGTGTGTTGTGTTGCGTGCGGTGCGTGTGTGTGTTGTAGTGTGTGTGTGTGTTGTGGTTGTGTGTGCGTGTGTGTGTGTGTGTGTGTGTGTTGTGTGGCGCGTGTGTGTGTGTGTGTGTGTTGTGTGTGTGTTGTGTGTGTGCGCGCGGTGCATGTTCTGGTATACGTGTATTTCGCAGGTACGTGCGTGTGTGTCGCTGCCGCTAGTACGTAGCGTGTAGTGGATATGTGTGTGCGTATTACTACATAATAATGTACTATATATTATTATATAATATATATATATAATTATATATAATATATATTATACATTAATATAAATCTTACGGGTTCTTCGTGCTGGTTTTCGACTGTAGGGATCGTCATCGGTAGGCGTGTGACATGACGGTGGGGGCCGGTGGGGGTTACGACTGGGCGCAGTGTGCGCAACCATCGCGGCACGGGTACGCAAGCGGCTTGCCATAGCGCCTGACGACGCTCGAGGAGCGTATGGTGGGAGACCCTGCAAGCCAGCGTGCATGAACGGCGACAGTAAGTGGGTGTCGATCTTCAGTTGACTGTCGGCGATCTCGCACGCGGCCGCCGTCCCGCTGCGCTGCGCGGACACTGGTCTTCTCCAGCTGTCGGCCGCCTATGATGATACGTATCCTTACTGAGGATGCTGCTGCGATAAGAAAAGACTCTTCTGGCTGGGCGAACGTGCATGCGCGGACCGTTGGCGATTTCGCTGCCGGCTGTTCTTCTCCGATATTGTTTCGGATGCTGCCTGCTCGCTCTTCTGCGCATTTTCATGGTGACGTACGATGATGATGGCACAACGATGAAGAACGAATTAATTAGGATATCGAGGTGTCGGAGTTCGGAGAACTCGGCACCAAAACATCGGATGGGTTACTGTCTGATGCATGGAGCGTAAAAGCGGCTCAAGGATGTCTCCGGTTAAGCTGCTGCGCGTTATCAGCTGGGAATTCCTCTCGCGTCTCGACGGTTTGGGCAGTTGCGGGCCCTCTCTCTCATCTTCGTCTGCTCAACTTCACCATCTCTCGATTCATTCTTACCTCAACCCGCTTCTCAGCCCCCTCTCTCTCTGTTATGTCCTGTGTGTGTTGTATGTCTCTCTCTCTCCTATGCCGCCGCGTACACGCACAGTGGACGGGAGCGGAATGTAGTGACGCGTGATGCATTTGCTAAGCAGTGCCTACTCGCGGGATAACACAGACGATGCGCCGCGTATCTTCTGGCGTCGAACTGGCGTTTGTCTGAGGGCGGTGGGTGCCGGTGGCAAGCAATGGCAGCGTCGCTGCTCTCTCACACCCGCGACTAAGTCTTCGTGGCGGCCAGTAATACTGATTGCGACTACGCAGGGCACAGTCGAGGGTGTTGTTACAAGTTAAGAATGCCGGTAGGCGAGAACAGAGGGAAGGAACCAGATTGGCTGCGGACAATGATAATCGCGATAGGCCCTGTCAATGAGCGCTTACCGCCCCGCCTTATCTCATATTCTCAGCGCTGTTCAAGCCATTCGCTAGTCCAATCACCTGCGTCGGCGGGGGTGACACGACGTGACGTCGCGCGCGCCAGCCGTGGATTGGCGATAACGGCGATATGCTATGAATCCGCTAGCTACTAGCTTGGCTTGCTTGCAGCGTAGATTATAATTAGCGATACGTTATTATGCGCGTGCGGCGCGTGCGTTGCGTGGCGTGCGTGCGTGCGTGCTGGGGTTTTATGTATATGATTCGAAGCGATCCGTTTCATTATGACGGCGTGCGGGCCTTGTTGGGGCGCCGTACACGCGTTGCTTTATTGAGTGAATTCGCGCGCCCAGTGACCATTTCCTGTCACCCTATATAAGTATATTTGTGTGTGGGTGTCGTGTGCGTGCACGTGTGTGTGTGGTGGTGTATTGTACGCGTGCGTGTGTGCGCTTCGAGCGTTGTGTACATGCGTGCGTCTGTGTGCTGTGTGTGTGTGTTGTGTGTGTGTGTGTGTGGTGTGTGTGGTGTGTTTGGTGTGTTGTGTTGTGTGTGTGTGTGTGTGTGTGTGTTGTTGGTTTTGTGTGTGTGTTGTGTGTGTGTGTGTGGCATGTGTATATGATAATATGGTATGGTTTACACCTACGATGGCAAGCTTCCCCTCTGGAATTTTCAGTGATCTATAACGCAGCTACTCTATATCCCCCCGGCAGATTCTCATTGCTTCTAAATGATATCACCACGCGCAATTTCCGATTGACATGTTTATGTGTATTGCTCTCTACCTTATATAATACGTATATATCTCATACAATAGATGCAAAAAGGAAATAAGAGAGCGAAGACAACCGGAGAGAACGAGAGAGAAAGAGAGAGAAGAGAGAGCAAGAGAGAGAAGGACAAGAGAGAGAAGATGAAAGAAGAGAGCGAGAAAGAGAGAAGCATGAGAGAAGAGAGAGAGAAGAGAGAGTAGAGAGAGAGAGAGAGAGAAGAGAGAGAGAGAGAATAACAACATATTAACAATCAGGTATGCTTCTGAGCTGCGTATACATTCCGTTCCGTTTCAGGAACCTTTCCAGAATATTCAGGTTGTGCTGGCCGTACTGTTAACGTTTTATTACACACACACACACTCACGCGCGCGCACATACACACACACACACACACACACACACACACACACACATTTATTTTATTTAGTTACACATAATATTTCGTCTTGCGCATGCGTAATGATATAGTTAATTAATTATTTATTATTTTAATTATGTAATTACAGTCTCGGCATACGCACATATATTATAACGTTATACAGATAAATAAGTCATAATACGGATTCTACGACGAGGTGAAGTGTGTTGTTGTTGTCGTTGTTTGTAAAGCACAATAACATTGGATTGCTAATACCAGTAGATGTATCCTGTTGTGTACCTCCTATTATTACTTATCGGGCCTATGGTCGCATATAACTCATAATATCGCTCGCATATAGCATGGCGAGGCGGATATGCTGATATCACGATCGCTAGGAATAAATACGCGCCAAGTTGCGCCACAAAGGATTTAGAGGAGGAAGTGATTCCGTTCACCAGGTGGTATAATTAATTTGGCATATGACGCATATATATATGCGTAGGGCGCATCTTATTACGTCGTTATAGAGATGCTTTTCGAGCGTTCACGAACAGTACCCGCTGTGCGATATGCGGTTGTGATCACCGATAACAACTTAATTCTTATGCCGGCGACAATATAATATTTTAATATTCCTCGACAGAAAAATCATGGTTGGAGCGTGCGTATGTGCACACATCCTTATTCGTTGAAACTTGCATTGGTCCAAGGTTTGAAACGAATAACAATAACTCAAAGGGAACGCGTGCTTAGCTACATACGTTGTGCTGTGATGTTACCAGGATTGCAGCGTCCTCACACTAGTCCAAGGCAGATATATCATCTCGTTAGATGCATAACTGTCGTATAGCTGTCATTTGATAAATGAAATTTTCCGCGCCCGCTTCGCTTGCTTGTCTATGCAGTGAGATTTCAGGCATTGCGAGCGAACGTTTCGCTTTGATCGTTCCTCTAATACCCAGGTGTAGACTCATTTCAGTTTCCAATACAGGTGGATGGGTTTTCAGCAGAATGGTAGGCTTATGTGTTTTGATCTAATATTCCCCAGTATTTATCATCGTCGTGGTATTTGTATCACTAGTATATTTAGTAATAGACTTAGGAACAGTAACAATAGTACTATTAAAAACAACGACAACGACACGCACGCACGCACGCACGCTAGTACGTATATACGTGTAGTGTATGTGTGTGCGTATATATATATATATATATATATATATATATATACATTAATATAAATATACTTACGTTCTTCGGCTGGTTTCGACGTAGGGATCGTCATCGGTAGCGTGTGACATGACGGTGGTAGGCCGGTGGGGTACGACTGCGGCCGGCAGTGTGCCAACCACGCGGCCGGGTACCAAGCGGGCTTGCCTAGCGCCTGACGATCGAGGAGGTATGGTGGGAGACCCTGCAAGCCAGCGTGCATGAACGGCGACATGAAGTGGGTGTCGATCTTCAGTTGATCTGTCGCGATCCTCGCCGCGGCCGCCGCCGCCGCTGCCGCTGCTGCCGACACGGTCTTCTCCGAGCTGTCGGCCGCCTTGTACTGATACGTATCCTTACTGAGGATGCTGCTGATGAGGAAAGACTTCTTCGGCTGTGGCGACGGCTGCGGCGCCGTTGGCGATTTCGCGCCGCTGTTCTTCTCCGATATTGTTCCGATGCTGCTGCTCGTCTCTGCGCTCATGGTGACGACGATGATGATGGCGACAACGATGATAACGATTAATTAGGAGATCGAGTGCGGAGTTCGGGGAACTCGGCACCAAACATGGATGGGTTACTGTCTGATGCAGGAGCGAAAGCGCGCTCGGATGTCTCCGGTTAGAAGCGGTGCGCGTTACAGCTGGGGATTTCCTCTCGCTCTCCGTTGACGCAGTGCGGGCCCTCTCTCTCTCTCTGTCTCTCACTTCACCTCTCTCTTCCGATT